TGCAGAAGAAGATGTGGGGGGTGGTTGAGGATGAGGAGGAAATAATATAACCCGTCGGTGTGTCCGGAAGTGGCAGGATCCTACCGGAAACGGAAGGGGGCGTCCTCCTACTAACAAGTAAAGGGGGGCCGCGCTGAATTATATATGAAGCGTAAGAACTAACTTACGCAACGCCCTGAAACACCCCCACTTCTTTCTCTCTCTCTCTCTCACTCTCTCTACAATTCTCTCTTTCCGTCTTTCTCGCACTCTTTATAAGCACACGCAACGCGAATTTACAAGAAAATCGAAAGAAAATTTATATATAGACACAAGAATGGTGACTAAAACTCCCGCCCTAAGGTCATTTCCCATTTCCATTTAATTCGGAGAAAACAAGTTATTATAAGCGATATTTCTGAAAGCTCGTACATAAAAGACCCTCGAGAAGCTTCAACTTAATGTATTGTGGGTTGATGTTCAACGAAAACCCGACGCATCCACCGAATATAACCATTAATTACAATCAATACATTAAAAGTAATTATAATCTCATTTTCAAACTATAAATAATTTGAATTTGCAAATAGAAAATTTGTGAAAATGATTCGTAAATAAGAATTTTTTTTGTTAAATTTCTTAACTTTCGTCTGATGTCAATTATGAGTTGATAAATTGCACCCTTAAGAAATTTCTCGGAAATAAATTGCATTTTAATTGCGCACGTCGTAAACAAACAAATAACGAAACGCTTGGCAATTAGAGTGAATTGTATTTTCTTTATAATTATTTTTGTTTTTTCGTGCGAGTGCTAATTACACTTCGCTAATGATCCGCGACGGCGTTGAAAAAAATCAGTAAACAAACATCGGACGAACAAAACAAAAATTTATATATATGAAATATTCGTTTGGCGTTTTATAATTACCGTCGCGCAAGAAAATTCCGTTTCCAAGTTTGTTTTAATTTAAACATTAAATGAAAATTAGCAAATATACTAGCGTTTTTCTACTTGTTTTGTTTATAATTGTACTTCAATTGTTTATAATATACAATTTAATGACATAATGACATTTAATGACCGATGACAGCTGAAAGTATTTCACCTGTTTCTTACTTTGACGTAAGGTGACATCTGTCATTTCACGATACTTTATAAATTTAACGAGATTCGATAAGTTGAGAAACGCTGCTCCATACCATTTATTAAGAGCTAAGAATATTTCAGCTGTTTCTAATTTTGACGTAATGTCACAACTGTCATACATTAAAAATGTATCGCTACTCGATAGGATGAGAAACGCTGCTCTATACTATTTATTAAGAACTAAGAATATTTTAGCTGTTTCTCATTTTGACGTAATGTCACAGCTGTCAATTCATGATACATTAAGAATGTATCGCTACTCAATAGCTTGAGAAAAGCTGCTCTATACTATTTATTAAGAACTAAGAGTATTTTAGCTGTTTTCCATTTTGACGTTATGTAACAGCTGTCAATTTATGATACATTAAGAATGTATTTATTAAGAACTAAGAGTATTTCAGCTGTTTGTCACTTTGACGTAATGTGACAGCTGTCATTTGACGATACATTAAAAATGTATCGCTACTCGATAGGTTGAGAAACGCTGCTTTATGCTGTTTATTAAAAACTAAAAGTATTTCAGCTATTTCTCACTTTGACGTATGGTGACAGCTGTCATTTGACGTTATATTTCCTTAGTACTTTTACTAGATACTAAAATTTAATTGTTTTATAATCAAGATATGTGTTTTTACAAAATTTAATTTTGCAAATTACGAATTGCTATTTTCAAATGATTAATGTTTAGCAAACACGACTGATGTGAATCGATATTAATGATTCGTAAAAAATAAAGGGTTTGATTGCGAGTGTTTGTGCGTATGCATGCGAGGGGAAGATACAAGGGTGATTACGGTGAAAATGTAGGTTATAAGTTTACGTGAGCCACGTGCGCGTTTCACACGTTTCGGGTGTCGGATGGATGGTGTAGCGGGGGCGGCCCTGGAAACAGATGAAGAGTTATAGGGCGGAAGACAAGTGATAATCGTGGGGGGGGGGCGCTTAATTTCATTGCTCGCCCGGGCCCACCGAGATTAATCATTTGCGGCTGTTGCGCTCGCTAATTTCACAACCCCGCAATTTATCTTGCGCAATTCGTACGTCTTCATCAACTACACACACACAAACATTTGAAGCGATACCTCGTTTAGTACGGTTTTGAATAAAATTAGTATTGTTCATAATTACAATTACGTATATCATTAAATATACAATCGTAATATTATCAATATTTATAGCAATAACTCGTTTAGTACGGTTTTGAATAAAATAATTAAAATTAATTATATCATTTACATATGCTACAAGTACATATTACTTGACATATTACTTGACAAGTTACTTGGCAAATATCGAATTTTATGAGATAACTTTAAATTACGCTTAATTAATTAACAATTGGATCCAATAAAACATATTAGCAAACTATTTTTTTTTCTTACACAACCATCAAAGGTTGCTGCATAAATAATGGCAAGGATTTATGAGACAAAATTGTTTTGTGTTGTTTATTTACAATAACTCGATTAGTGAATAGGTCATGATTTCGAGCGGACAAAGCGAGGTATCGCCTGTATACATATGTTTGTGTGTGTATATGAATGTGTGTGTTTGTGTGGCGGACGGTTGCGGCGCGCTTCCGTTACGCAAGGTTCTGCGGCGGCGGAAAAGTTAGTGAAAAAATCATAAATAATTTAACGTATCATTTTATCATAATTTCAACACATAAATTTTATAGTAGGCGTGAGCAGCGTCGGGGCGGCCCACGCTTTCTCCCATTCTACGTACATATACACGTTTTCCCTTCTCCTCCTCCACCACCGACACGCGCCGCGGCGCTAATTCAATATTTAACCCGGCGCCTCCACAATCCTCATCGTCTTCTACAATATTTTGTTTTTACTTATATCCTCTTCTTACACTCCGCCAACATCTATTAATTAACCTCGCCTGAATGTAACCCAAAAATTGCACAAGATTAGTTTTCAGTTGAAATTAAGCTTAAAATGTTCATCGTCAAAATATAAACCATTTTTTTAGAAAATTATATTGTTACTATGAAAAATTAAATTGAATTTTAAAATATTTGTATGTATTTTCAGGGTGATATTTTCACGGGACTAAATGAGGGAATCATGAGCAGAGCGGAAGCTCTCGCTGCTGTAGACATCAAACATCAAGGATCGGGTGGACCTGGAGGTCTTCCTCAGCTCAAACACGACATGATGTACCACCACGGCATGGGCGCTCCTCCACCAGTTACCAGACCACATCAGGTAACATTCATAGTTTAATTAATCACAAAAAAAATATGAATTTTTGTATCAATTTTAATTTATAAGATTTAAACTTCTGCTCATTGTAGTAAAAATAATAATAAAAATATTTCAACATTTCAAAACGAGAGAAGTGTTACGTTTTTCACAACTCAATAAAATATGTTTTTAAATACTGAAACATGTATTATTAATATGGACAAAGATTGTAGCAATTACAGAAATAATCAAGTATATTTCTTCATTTGTTCTAAAAGTGTTTAATTGACACAACAAAAGGAATAAAGTTTAACTAATATTTTGATATTTAAAGTAAAACTTAATTTGTTTGCAATGTTTTGATAATAACTTGAAAATAAAACAAAGTAAATTCATTTTTTAATCAAAATTTCTAAACTGAAATTTGATGTAATAATCAATAGACACTTTTGTACTTACATTTAAATAATCATAGTAGAGAAGTATTACGTTTTTCACAACTCAATAAAATATGTTTTTAAATACTGAAACATGTATTATTAATATGGATAAAGATTGTAGCAATTACTGAAATAATCAAGTACGTTTCTTCATTTGTTCTAAAAGTGTTTAATTGACACAACAAAAAAAAAAAGAAAGTTTAACTAATATTTTCATATTTAAAATAAAACTTAATTTGTTTGCAATGTTTTGATAATAACTTGAAAATAAAACAAAGTAAATTCATTTTTGAATCAAATTTTATAAAATTTCTAAACTGAAATTTGATGTAATAATCAATAGAAACTTTTGTACTTACATTTATATAATCATAGTTGAGAAGTATTACGTTTTTCACAACTCAATAAAATATGTTTTTAAATACTTAAACATGTATTATTAATATGGATAAAGATTGTAGAAATTACAGAAATAATCAAGTACGTTTCTTCATTTGTTTTAAAAATGTTTAATTGACATAACAAAAAGAAGAAAGTTTAACTAATATTTTCATTTAAAGAAATTTAAAGTAAAACTTAATTTATTTGCAATGTTTTGATAATAACTTGAATATAAAACAAAACTAGTATAGTAAATTCATTTTTGAATCAAATTTTATAAAATTTCAAAAATTTGATGTAATAATCAATAGAAACTTTTGTACAAATCGTAGTTGAAAACTGAATAAATTGCTAAAAAAACATCGATGGAAAATATAAACGATTTCTTACGATAATCAAAGAAGATTCATTAATCATTTTTAAGGAATCGTCGCAATCAATTTGACATATGTCAAAATATCTGAAGCGAAGCAAAACAAATTACTCATTTTTTATTTTCATAGCTAACTTAATTATTCTAAGAAACAAAACATATTTTCAATTAAATAGCAATACTTCGCTTAGTACGGTTTTTACTGAAACTAGTCTTATGTAAAAACAAATATCTTTACAATTTATTTCAAGTTTATATTTACTATATCTAGCAAAACTCGTTTAGTCCGGCTTCGACTATGATTATGAAGCAATACATCGTATAGTCCGGATTTACTAGGAAATGATATTGGTAATCAATGATCAAAAACTTAATTAGAGGTTTATTTTGTGTATGGATATTAGGAGTTATCAGAATATTGTTCAATTTGTACTGATAATGGGAGATGGATAGGTTCAGTGTCTCGAGATAGGCGTAAAGCGGTATTAATGTTTCACGCTGTCGGCGTATCAAGCGACGGCATCTTCGAGCAGTAATTGAAACGGAAAATCGGAAAAACGGAGACCATCATGCAATGCAACAACAGCACACGACGCAACAATATGAAATTGCGGCAACGGTAATTTTCCCTCCCATCACTATCTGAACGGAAAATCTATGGCCGCGAAAGGGGGCGGCGGGCGGTCGGTCGGTCGGTCGGTTTGCGCGCCGTGTAATAACCAATAATAATCGAAATAATCAATCAAAGAGATGTGCGGCTGATGATGCGCGTTAATATTACATGAGCCGTGCGTGTGTGTACTGTAGTGTCCATATCTCCTCCACTCTGCACGCGCATTCCCATTGGACGACGTGCAGGAATTTATGCCGTTACATAATGCCACCTCTAATCGAATGATAACTGAGCATTAGCCAGATAAGATCGAAGTAATCGTCCATCCGAAAATACACGATACAACTACGCAAACAGCAAAACGAAACAAAAACTGTATGGATTGTACAAAAATGAAAGCATTAAAGAGAAATAAACTATCGTTTTATGTAATTGATCGAGTTTGGTCCAAATCTTTTCAATTATTAATTAAAGCGTTCATCAATAAATATCTCCATACAAAAATTAATTCATTTTTAGGTAATACAGGAAACATACGAAATTGAACGAATCAATTACAATTAAAAATTACAGGAAAATTTAATTAATAAAATCTTTGAATAACTTATACAGAAGTGACAAGTATTACTTGAATGTAGATTTAATGTTTCCAATCATTGTGTATGCAATATGAAGATCACATCAAAGTATCAACAAGTACCATAAGACGACAAAGGGTTAAAACCCAACGAAGAAACATATATAAGAAATAATAAGATAATGTAACGTGAAGTAGAAGTAGAGAACGCTGCAACTACGCTCCACGGTGCAACTATGCTTCCAAAATTTCGGGAGTTCTTCAGTGGAGAAGATATATTTATATGCTGCAAAGGACGGTATTGGAGCTCTCGAGGAACCGACGGAGAAGAAGCTTGCTGATCATAAGGAATCAGTTATTAGAGTTATTCCTCTCAATAATCTTCCCTCGCACTGAATCTTCCCACTTCAAGATTTTGTATATTTTGTATTTTCGTGTTACAATAACGAGTCTGAAGCAAATTGTCAAAAAAAAATGAATATAATTGTTCCGATAATAATGATTGAATTGAAAGCGAAATAACATTAATAATTAATGTTATACATCGATGTTAATATTAAGATTAGATTTATATGTAAACAAATAATAATACTTTCCATTTCGTAGATGTTGCATAATTTATAACAAAATACGCCGCGTTCCCGCCAAACCGCTCGATTAACACATAAATTAATTAAATTAATACATTTAAATGCGATCATTTCAAAGCAAATAATTAAATTTAGTTGTGATGCAATTAATCAATTATTATATTTAACATAAACACACAAACACACACACATAAAAAGATACATATATTAAATTATTTATTCAAGCGTTGAAATCAGTGCCATTCAGAATTATTTTATTACTTAATTTCAGTTTTATTTACAATTTAAATTTATGTTATGATAAAAGTGTACATGATTTTATATTCTTTTCATTTTAGCTATTTTTGTCAATGATTTCCTATAACTTCATTAGTTTTATTATTAAATGAAATATTAGTGTTTCAAATTATTTCAGAAATTTAATGTGCAGAACAAAATAAGTAACAAAAAATGTAAACATTATGACAATTTCATATTTATACTACACATATGAAATTGCAATTTACTTACATTGTTTAATTCTTAAGCGAATTCATTGAAAATAAATTAGTTTGAAATGAATATCTAATTAATATTTGGACAAAACAATAAATTATCAAATATTTCATGAAATTAGTTATCTAAGCTAATGTAAAATTGAAATTGTTCAATTTATGACTTAATATAAAAAGGGAATAAAAATAATTAAATTTAGTTGTGATGCAATTAATCAATTATTATATTTAACATAAACACACACACATAAAAAGATACATATATTAAATTATTTATACAAGCGTTGAAATCACTACAATTCAGAATTATTTTATTACTTAATTTCAGTTTTATTTACAACTTAAATTTATATTATGATAAAAGTGTACATGATTTCTTTTCATTTTAGCTATTTTTGTCAATGATTTCTTATAATTTCATTAGTTTTATTATTAAATGAAATATTAGTATAAACATTGTAAATATTATGAAAATTTCCTTATGAAATTGCAATATTCTTACATTGTTCAATTCTTTAGCGAAACAAGAACATTCATTGAAAATAAATCAGTTTGAAATGAATATCTAATTAATATTTGGACAAAAAATATTTCATGAAATTAGTTTTCTAGGCTAATGTAAAATTGAAATTATTCAATTTATGACTTAATATAAAAATGGGAATAAAAATAAGTATAATTTAGTATATTTATAGTAAATAATGGAAATGATACAAGAGTTTCATGTGATGGGGCGATTAGATTGGAACGAATAAAACGTGGAACGAATTTTTTTTTCGTTGCTGTTGTATATTTGTTTTCAGAGCTATCCTCTTTTTGATCGTGGTGTGTTAGGAACAGTAGCAGCAGTTGTTTTTTCCCTCTGTTGTTGTTGTTGTCGTTACTGTTTTGTTTTGGCATGAATTCCAATGATTCAACCGAATGTCCCAGCAGCGACATATTTCATCATTAGGGCTCGCATTGGTGTAAAGTGGTCATTTGACGTGTACAACGGCAGTCGGGGCAACCCCATGTGGGGCCCGACACGGCCCCCAAGGGAAATGTTATATGTGACCTGGGGGTAGGGGGGAGTCAGCGGTCCGAACCCCATTTTGCCACCAGGCCACCCCCGACCGTTTGTCAAACACCACTACCGCCACTACCAACGGCAGAACACTAACATTTGTTTTTCAAGTATTTGTTTGTTCTTCCACTGCTGTTACCAGCTACCACCACACTATTATATCGCTAGATATCACTACAGCAACTAAAGCTGCCGCCGCCACCGAAGCCCATTATTCCTCCACCCTTTTGTTTCAGAACGCTTTCGGGGAAAAGCCAAAAAGAAAAGACTACGAAGAGCAAAGACAAACAACTACACACAATGCACACGAGCAAACAGAACGATGAAAAACGAGATAAAAACCTACAAGATTAGATCCAAAACATTATAATTACTTTCTTAAAGCAGCCCACATTAAAGTAAATCGAAATCTCCCATCGGTTTTGGGGGGTTGTTAAATTCGTCGATGATTTTTATTATTTTGAAAGTTTACGAGCGTGACGCAATAAAACGGAATATGGAAAGCATACCTTCTTCTATTTTTCCATGAGGGTTCTTCGCTTCTTTCTACGTGTTTTTTTTTTTTTTATTTTTTTTTATAGAAAGGAAGGGTGGTGGAAATAAGGGAAAACGCGCGCCCCATCATACTGCGAGGCCATGAAATTTTCGCAAATGGGCATTAAAACGGGAAAGGGCCTCGCTGATTCTTTATAATGCTAATGCATCCGAAACACATGGGCGTCGTTGTTTTTTTTTTGTGTTGGTTCTCTTTCTCTCCACCATTATAAAAGAATGGAACAAATGTTGCAGGGTTTTTTTCTCTCTCTCTCTCCTCCTCTTCGCTCAAGACTTTAAGCGTCGCTAATCCACGTAATTCCGAACGCTACAATTCCACCGGTTTCGTTTAACTTTTATTATTCAGTTAATCGTCGTGTAATCATCAATTTAACCGTAACCGTTCCAACGCATATTTATATAGAAACGATTACATAATGAATTGAAATTCATATTACATCTGTTGGTTTTCGAAAATATTAACTTAATTCAATGAACAAATCTCAACTTAAAACTATTTCGCTTTCCAAATTGTATTAATTACAAAGAAATAATAAACATCTGCAGTGAAGATTAAGTGAATATCAATATTAATTTAAATTACATAAAAAAAATTAATTAAAAACTTGAAACTTCTTGTGATTGTTTTTTCCATCCATTCTGTATTTAATTATGAAAGAAAAATATTGTTTTCTTAAGAATTTCTTAAAAGCTGTTCCACTTTATAAAAGCTGAAATTTTAGCACTTTTTATATATTTTATTTTTTCAGTTTTGTTAATCAACAAAAAAATGCAATAATAAACATCTGCAGTGAAGATTAAGTGAATATCAATATGAATTTAAATTACATAAAAACTTATTCAAAATTAATTAAAAATATTATTAACTTGAAACTTCTTTTGCATTCATTCTGTATTTAATTATAAAAGAAAAATATTGTTTTATAAAGAATTCCTTAAAGGCTGTTCCACTTTATAAAACCTGAATTTTCAGCACTCTTTATATATATTTTTTTTTTTCAGTTTTGTTAATCAACAATAATAACATGTGCATGTACAAATGAAACAGGCAAAACAAATGCATCGACACTAGTTGTTGTATGTGAAAACCAATATTGGCTATATGGTACACATTGTACTATTTACAATTATTTATTTTTTCGGTGTGTGTATGTGTGTATATTCGTGGAGTTGCAGTGTGCAATTATTTCTGCCGTTTATTTTCCATCTATATTTAATGAATTTCCAAAGGGTAGCAAAAAGGACGTGCGGTGTGTGAAAGCGAGAGACGGAAACAGTTTCGAAGAGAGAAAGGGTTTGATTTCACAAAAATATACCAAAAAAAAATAAAATAATAATGAACGAACCTGTGAACTGTTTCGTGCATTCGATGGTCAACAATATATATGTATGTGGCGTGCTCACATTGATATAATAATAATAATAAAAAAAAAACAATTGACAAACCGGCATGTTTGTAACCTCAATCAAACAATAACTATTATGTTATTTCGTGAAAAATAAACACGCGAATTGATATGGAAACATACAAACAGCGCACACAAATAATGAAAAACTGGAACAAAAAAAAAAGATACATGAACACTAGAACAATAACGAAGTTAAATTTACTAAATGTTCATTATTACTACTTTTAGTATTTCTACAAAATTGTAGACTAAAACTAATTGTGTTTCTTTACTAAATTGTCGTGTCCCAGGGATGGATTTTGGGACACTGTGGGATATTATCTTCCGTTGTCTGTTGTGGAATCTCAGTTGTTGGGAATTTAATAAAATTCGTTTGGTTTTACATAACTTTATTTGTTACTTGGTCGATTTAAGATTCATCTGAGACTATGCTCAGCATATTAAGATTCTTATAAGACTATGTTCATCTTTACGGAGACTACTTCTAAATACTTATTGTACTTCCAAAGTTAATTCTTATTAATACGGACGAGGTGGGAATTTGAGAAGCAAACTTTCGTTGATTTATTTTTTTTTTACAAATTATGTGAATAAGTAACTTGTCAAGTGACGATAAATGCGTAAATGTTTTTTTTTCTAATTATTTTGTAATTTAAATGCGTATTTTGGCAAGTCTCTATAATATAAACCCTGTTTCAACAAGTAAATATACTTGACACATTACTTGACAAGTTAAGTATTTACAAATTGCCATTTTAGAATAATCCTTTAAGCACCATTTATTTATTGAAATTCGTTTGGTTTTACATAACTTTATTTGTTACTTGGTCGATTTAAGATTCATCTAAGATTATTAAGATTCTTATAAGACTATGTTCATCTTTACTGAGACTACTTCTAAATACTTATTATACTTATAAAGTTAATTTTTATTGATACGGACGGAGTGGGAATTTGAGAAGCAAACTTTCGTTGAATTATTTTTTTTTTTTACAAATTATGTGAACAAGTAACTTGTCAAGTGACGATTAATGCGTAAATGTTATTTTTCTAATTATTTTGTATATTAAATGCGTATTTTGGCAAGTCTCTATAATATAAACCCTATTTCAACAAGTAAACATACTTGACATA